AAAACAAACCGGTCAACCAGTTCGAATGCGCCAAGTAAATCCATACGTTTATGTGTATGGCGTTCTTCTAGCACCTGACGAAGTGTGAAGATTTGGTTAACGCAATCCCCCTTGCTGCTCTCGAGTCAGTGTTTCACGAGTCACCGTAAGGCGACGAGGCACCAGTGGTGCCAACAGTCTCGCTACAACCGGACTCAGGCTGATGCCCATGTGGTCGTCACACTCACCACGGGCCCTTTTTTGAACATGATCACTATCACCAACTCTCCCCAGTAGCCTGACACAGACTCCTTTTCCCAAATGCAGGCTAACAGATCAGACAAACGCTGACCAATGACTTCATCCCCATCTTTGAACAATGCTGGTGGGAGATCAGACCAGAGGCTCGGTGACGCTTGAGAGAACATATGCAGTCATAAACCTCCGAGCCCGTAGACGGTTCCACATTCACTGTCCAGGGTTCTACGTCACCTGCGGGCTCCAGATAAGTGCCAGCTGGTGGCCACACTAGTTCGAAGTATTCGGTCCAACGGTCGAGGCCTTTTTCTTTATTCGAGATGATCACTCCCTTCCGAAACTTGACGATTTCGCTTACAAGTGGTTTCCATGGACCAGTCGAAAGGATCAACTGAAGTAATTTTCGGGCATTACCGGCTTTCTGGGCCTCTTCCATTTCCTCAGCTTTCTGTGTCCACCGCACTTCACGGTCGGCTTACATGCTCACCTTCACTTGACGTCTGATAATTCGTCGCACCAAGTTATGTTCCGGGCCGACTGGGGTATTTCTCCGAGATATAAGTTCTTCCATTCGGTCTGATATCCAGTGCTTGAGTAGGCCTGGTGGTGCCTTGCGTTAGGCGAAATTCCCAGCACTATGCGAAGAGGTGACAATCTCGTCCCGGTATGAGTTCGCAACTGATGGTGGATCATTTGGAAGAGAGCCTAGAAGACGATTCTGGTAAGTTCGTCTAACATCCGGGTCTACCAGTCTTTCGGTTGCCATGCAATTTCTCCGCACCTCACGCGGCCCCGGAAAACGTAGGGAGAAGTGACTCCGGACGAGCGCGTGGTCGGACTCCACAAATGTGTTCCAAAACGACCGGCAGTCAGTTATTGATCCGCGCCCCTGGAGGACCATATGGCCAAACAACTTTGGCTATCGCCATTGTCCACACGTACTGAGTCCAATCCATGTCGACCTCTTAATTGAGTCTCAGATACGTTAAGCTTGCCCATTTGTACGTTCAAATCTGTGGCAACCACCGCGACATCTGAGCTTTTAGCCCGCCGCAGCAGGACATTCGGAGCGTCATAAAACCTGTCTTCGATGTCGGAGCTACAGTCAGTTGGGACCTAAGTAGACACAATAAACTTGCCGCTTGCGGACTCCTTCACACGTTGCCGACGAACTGCACAGAGGCGGCTATTAACAGGTAACCAGTCAAACAAGGATATTTTCGTCCGGTGACTCAGGACGATATAAACCCCTGCGTATCCCACCGCAGCAGCCTCTGGATCACCAGGGGTGCGCAGCCGGAAGCGAGTGGAGACTGATGGGGCGGTTAGCTCAGCCAATGTGCTTGCATCTTGAGTTCTTGCTTCTGAGACACAGCACACATCGAATGCAAGCGAGTCCTGTGTGAGGGCGAGAGCAGCTTGTCCTGCTTGCTTCAGAGTGCACAAATTGAGGGTGGCCAGATAGTCTGGGTCTCGAGGCTTGAAGATTAACTTGAAGGTACCTAAGGATGTCGGTGCCATGTGCGTGCAAAACTGATGCAATACGAACGTAGTCATCAGCCCAAAGTGCTGGGTCTACAAGAGTAGAGTTATTAACGGAGTGGGGAGAGGAGAAAGAAGAAAGACATTAACAGCAGCCTGTTTTTGCTTACACGCCGTGATGTGTCCAGCGAGCAAGGCAACCCGGCTTATGGTACCGCGCGACGGCCGGTGTGGTATGAGTTTATTGTTAGACGTGTATATCATGGTTGTACATGGGTTAGGATACTCTCAGGGCAGCCGCATAGAAGGACAATTGGGGTCCTCAACCCAAACCTTTGGCTAAAAAGTCTAACCACAAGGCAGCGGTGTTTGCAAGGGAACGCAACTGCATTACCATTTTTACGAAACAAGTCGCCACGTGTTTCAACCCCTAGCCTAAAGGACCAGGAGACTGTGTTCACCAGACCTCTTACCACTTACCAACCTGGTAAGAGCGACTCTGTGAGTGTCGCGGGGACATCCCTCAGTATAGCTCAATGGATCGTTGAGGTGCGCAAAACGTCACACCATGCCTGCGTCTATAAGACGACGGAGAATCAGTGACGCCAGAATTCTTGTTACAACGGGATTCAAACAGTTCATTTTTCATCATTATCAGCTGTAAAGACCACGTACTTGTCGTACTACATTCGTTGTGAACACTTTGAAAACGGACACTGTTATTGGCTCATTCTAATTATCTGGGGCAGTCGTCTCATGTACTTACATAGACTATTTTCCTGTTTTCGGGCCAGGTTTAGTTTCGTATGTTCATTAGGTCCATCTCTGATTCACCTCGGTTCCGCACCTTACGAAATGCCCGGTTGTGTTTCAACTGTTCTTGCAGTGTAGTTGAGAAGCAGTCAGTAATAACTCTAGATAACTCGACCAACTGTTTCAAAGAATGTGTTGATGAATGAACCTTCGAAAGGCAAACTCAGTTCTTTTTTAGAAACACCTCGAACGGTGTTCAGCGATCAATTCAACTTCTGAAATTACCAAACGTACCCTAGTAGAACGCTGGCACCACCGCGATCATTAGCGGTTTATTACTTCAGCGCAACCAAGCGCCTGATGGAGACCATTTGCGCCCTGCACTGTTGTAAGGGGATAGCGAGCACCAAAATATCTGGGATGAGGACATAATATCAACGGAATGGAGTGGCTCGCGCTGATACGGCTGGGACAGACAACAGAGGGTGACTCCAGTTGTGCGCTGATCATCAACTGTTTCTGGCCAGTGTGAACTTTCAACATATACATTCGCATCTCGTAACCCGACGGCCACCACTTACAAATCAACCGTGTACCCAGCTGGTTCACGTGACCATCAGCCCCCATTCACGTGACCCCATCGGTGGGGAGATGTAATTCAAGACTGCCGTTCCTTCTGGGACACGCGGCTTCCTTCTGATCGCGCCATGGTTTGAGCACGCCTGACATTTGGTTTCCTTTCAAACCCTCACAAATCAGCAAGAGGCATGCCAAACCACCATATTCGTGGAACTACAATAGCTCAGCATTATTATTCTGAACTAGCGAAGCTACCCTTCACTACTCTCTCTACAGTAAACCAACACTGTGCTTGGGCAACCTGGCAGTATCCCAGCCCTCGTGCTTCCTTCAGGTGGCATGGCAGCTAGGCACCGGAAGGGTGCTACAGCTGAACGCTGGTAGCGAGCGCATAGATGAAGCACGGCAAAATGTGAAGTGGACTATGCCAGTGGCGTTCAGTGCTGTCTGTCCGACTTCTCCGATACGACCAAATGACCGATAGGTATAATCGACGTTGATGCCGTGGAATTCATACCAGCAGGCAGCGGGTACGACGGTGCACTCAATTGTCTCGAATGCGCATAGTGAAGAGCTTAATAAAAGACCGAAAGCCTCAATGGGCTTCGAAAGCTCAGGAGATGGAAGTAGAAACAACCGTAACCAATATCAATTAATACGGTCGACTGGCCATGGCAAAGTAACGCTTAAGGAAGCGATAAATAAAAAAGGTGGCCCGTTAGTTCTGTCGCAAAAATGCCGACTGGAAGAGTAAGCCTCTGCAACAGCCTGTTCATTCGGTCGGATAAATTTTAAACCTTAATCTCCCATCAGAGGAAGATATAAAATACGAAATGTCCGTACTGAAACGTGTGTATACACCCGTACCGGATGGTCTATATCCATTCCTCTTTAACCAAACTGGAGAATCCACGGTGACCCATCTGACAAAACTCCTTGGTGCGACATAGAGTGAAGAAAAAGTGCCTACAGAATGGGACGCATCGGTAGTCATCCATATCCTCAAAATGGCATCAGCCTAGTAGCTGTGGCATCGAAGCTCTGTTCTTATCCTTCGAAGGTTGACTGAAATGCATCGATCACATTTTCACCCTCTGACCGATTATGGGATAGTGAGGTGCTTCCACCAAGCAACACTTATCTTCCTTGACTTGAAAGCTGCCTTTTATTCTGTGGATAGTCAGGCACTGGGGCAATGTCTGTGGAGCAAAGGTATCCTTAAGGCGCTTAATGACAATTCCTGCCGGCGCGTGAAGATCTACAGAAAGCTCTCGCCTGAGCTCACTGCATCAAGTGGTGTCAGACAAGGCTGTTCTGTTTCACATTCCCCCTTGAACTTCCTCTTTGGTGCGATTATGAAACACTCACTCTCAGCCTCTAATGCATGTGAGGTCGATATACTCCCATGGCATTCGTCCACAGATATCGAGTATCTGTGTTTGTGCTCTACACAAACAAGAGCATGATCTGTACCTCGTGCATATCCAGTCTGAGCCCGTGTCACACCTGCAGCCTCCAACCGTGCGATCTAAAATATGGCTGATCTGCGCGACTGCGGCGCTGTTAGATTACTATGTCGGTGACTATGTCTTGACGAGCCTGTTGGTTGTGAACTTACTGAGTCTGTTGTCATTCTCAGAAAGCCAACCAAGTACGTATTGAGTGCTTTCTTCCTATCCTTGCAGTCATCATCATCATCATTGTCAGCGTACTCGTCGTACAGTGGTTGTAGCTACCGCAGTTTCGTTCACCGATGATTGGGGGGGGGGAAGGTAGCTGCGCATTGCACGCGCGAGCTGGTAAATTGGTGCATAAATCCAGCACTGTAAGTGGGCTGTCAAGTGGGGGGTTGGTTGGAGAAGGAGCTATGCATTGAAGGCAATAGCTATGATGCACGAACGCCATTGAGGGCGCGACTGGGCGATGTCTGATAATCTCTCTAGTGATTGATGTGGCCCGTCTCGGGGTCCCCATCCAGGAAGACGGCAGTGACCAGCGCAGCTGAGTTTGCTGGTAATGGCTTTCATACTTCGCTGCCAAGTCATTGCTTGACCGCCTCTGGCTCTCTTCCACCCTTCACATGGTTGGGCGAAAAGAGGCCTTCGAGGAAGTCGGTCGACTGGCATACGCAGCATGTGGCCAAGCCAGCGCAACCTGTGCAGTGTGATCAGTTCATCTATCGAGGGTGAGTTATTTCTCCCGAATACCATTCGACGTACTTCAGAATTGCTGATCCGGTGTTCCCACCAGATT